CCTAGGCTTACCTCACAGGAGCTGCTCTTCCAAGGCAGCTCAGCCTTTGCAAAGGCCTAGGAAGCAAGCTGAAGTGATTAGTGCAGCCGGAGGTGCTAATGAGGTATCAGACCAGGGCTGCAGCATGCAGCTGTGTGTGAGCTGAAACATACCCGGTGAGCAGAGCCTTCCTGCTGGCCTGGAGCTGGAGGCAGTGGGAGGGGAGCAAAAGCAGTCCTGGCACCCTCAGTCTCACTAGGAGTCGTTTACAAATTTCTCTTATCACTTGCCCTGAAATCTCAGTCCATTTTAAGTGACAGAAAACACCCAAGGGAAAATACTGGGGAGCCAAAGGGAGAAATGTCAGAACTCTTGTAATAATAGCAGCCTCTAACATCTCATGTGTGCCTACTCTGTGCCAGACCCTGTTCTAACCATGTTGCCTGGATTAACTCATTTACTATTCACATCAATCTATAATTTAGGCTGGGTGTGGTGGCTCACTCCTGTAATCCCAGCATTTTGGAAGGCCAAGGCAGGAGAATTGCTTGAGGCCAGGAGTACAAAACCAGCTTGGGCAACACAGTGAGACCTTGTCTCTACAAAACATTTAAAAAATTAATTGGGCGTGTTGGAGTGTACCTGTAGTCCTCGCTACTCAGGAGGCTGAGGTGGAAGCATCACCTGAGCACAGGAGGTCAAGACTGCAGTGAGCTGTAGTGCCACTGCACTCCAGCCTGAACAAGAGAGAGACTCTGACTCAAAAAAAAAATCTGTAAGCTAAAGATAGTCATTATTCCCATTTTACAGATGAGGAAGCTTTGGCACAGAAGTAGTTTGCCCAAGATTACATGTACAGGGGATGAGTCCAGGTGTCAAGTTGGCCCAACACCTTTTCGCACACCAACTTGAGGAAGGTGGCACTTGGTGCAGAACAGTCAAGTCCAGAGAACCTGGTAAGAGAGTTGCCAGTGCTCTGCTCATCCCCTGAGCCAGGGAGATGGACCCCAGCGAGTTGACCCAGCAAGTACTACTCAGTCCAGTCCTCCCCTCTGCCTCCTGAGGCTTCAGGGCAGAGGGTGTGCTTCCTACTTCCTCTTCTCCCAGGCAGAGGGTTGCCCCTCTACCTCCCAACCCAAATAAGCTGAGGGGTGGCGCCTCAGGGAGTTGGCTGGGCTCCAGGCCCCTAATGGGGAATGGACAAGGAGTGAACGACAAGAGCTGACCAAGGCCCGTGGGCCACCAGGAGCCCCAAGGAACTTCAAAACCCAGCACTGGGAGCCAAGCATGCCTCTGGGCTAGAAGTTTGGGAACCTCAGTTGACACACCAACTCACCTTGGCAGGCCTCTGTCTTGCAGAGAAGCGTCATGGGGTAGTGACAGGTCACAGGCCTCTTCTAGCTGCTGCTTCCAGGGCTGGGTTATGTGGGAGAAGCCTCTTCCCACCAAGAGAAGCATGTGCTGGCGGAAGGTCCGGGGGCCCGCCTGACTGCAGAGGCCCAGAGCAGCTCAAAAACATGGCCGACTCTTGATGCCGTCTGAACCCTCTCGGCCTGGGCCTACCGTGTTCCTTCACCCCTCTTGTGCACTCTGCGAGGACTGTGGCCCTCTCGTCCAGCCTCCTTGTCCTTCAGACTCAGCTCTGTCGGAGGATGTGAGCATGAAATATGAGAATTTATCAAAAGGGCTAGCACTGTGGCTGACACATATGAAGCCTAAAAGAAGATTATCACCATCAGTATTGGTAGCAGTCTGTCTTTGGTTATGTTGTGGATTTGAATTTGGAAGATCTGGGTTCAAATTTCAACCTAGCCACTTGCTAGTGGTGTACTCTTGCATAAATGGCTTAGCTGCTCTTAACTCTAACTGGGAGATACCGATTCTACATTGCTGCAGGGCACCCCACAGGTGGAGCATGAAGCTCAAGCGAGATAATGGACGTGGAAAATGCTTCGTAAGTCACAGAGCATCCTGTAAATGCTGGCACTGCCTCTCCCACAGCCACTGGCACAGGCCGTGGCCTGGCCCCAGGTGGAGCTAGATGCCTTTGCCTTTTCATTCAGCAAAGACAAACCTGGCATTTCTTCAGAAGAAAGTTTGGCTTAAAATTAAGGGCATAAACAAATGAGAAAACGCAAAAGAAGAGGGGCAGTTGGGCTTATTGAATACTGCTGTCTCCTACCAGGAAGTATAGCCCAGGAGCCAGACTCACTGTCAGTTGTGACCCCAGCCTTCCCTCCTCAGCCTTGCCCTGTGGGGCTGCAGGGTCTTGCTGCCATGGATTTGGGGTGGAGGGACACTGAGGAGGAGATCCCCAAACAATATTGAATCACCTCCTCCCTCACACACAGGATGTGGCTAAAACCCACAGACCTTAAAATATTGTGTGCCTAACCTCACAGCAGTTCCAACTAGCGGAGTCCAATTTTCTGAGAGGCTAATGAGGTTTACACTTCGGCCCTTACCTGCACCAGTTTCTTCCAAGGTCATATATTTCTTTAAAGTCATATATTTAGTAGTATTAAGGTAAGTTTACTAAGGTAAACTTTTTTTTAAAAGTGGTAGCTGGGTGTGGTGGCATGCCCCTGTGATCCCAGCAACTCAGGAGGATTGCTTGAACCCAGGAGGTCAAGGCTGCAGTGAGCTGTGATCATGCCACTGCACTCCAACCTGGGCAACAGAGGGAGACCATAGCTCTTAAAACAAAACAAAACAAAACAAAACAAAAACAATGAATTGATGTAGCTCACCACCTTGATTTCCTCTCTGTCCCACCTCCCTTCATGTCAGGCAGTGGTGGGGTGGCTTGGCATTTGGGGGTGTAGCTAAGGGAATTTGAATTGGGAATATAGTCAGTTGGGCCTTCTGTAATTTATTCATTTGGTTATGTTGGGCAAACACTCAGTTGGGTTATGTATCACATGTTTATGTTGTGTAATATATTTACTGCTAGCCATCCTGAATATAAATGGTTTGCGGAATATCTCTGCCACATTCTGTGCTGACTGGTTCAGGTGACACACGATAGGAGAGGAGAAACAAGGCTGAGACAGAAGCTAGTCCAGTGTCAGATGGTCAGGGTATATGGAGGTGTTCTGTTGTCTAACACGTATATCGTTTTGAGATCTCTTGAGGAAAGAATACAAAATTAGGCATGAAGGAGAATATTTATTTGGAATAAGCAAAAAATTAAAACATTATAAAACTTAAAAAGCTGGTAAACACCACAAACAGCATAAAGCCCAGAAAAATAATCCCAACCAGCTTCTGGCCCTGGCCCTGGCCCTGCCAGCTGCCATACATCTCTGCCCACATGGCTGTCCCTTGTCCCCTTTTATGGGAGCTTGGGAAGAGGGGCACCAAAGGATTAGCTTCAGGATGACTGCTGGGGTTCCCAGGAGCAGAGGAAGATTGCAGTCACTAAATATGAATTTCATGCCACTTTTTGGCATCCTGTGCAAGTCTCTGGAGAGAGGACACAGAGTCCTGAAACCAGCAGCCCAGACAGTTTCCTGAACTGAGAGCTGAGAGCTACATGCCAGGGGCCGTCTGCTTTCCATGGAGCTGGCCTTTGCTATGTTCAAGTACAAGGCGCACAGATTTCCCCTAGAGTGAGAAGGCTATTGTGTTGTTGCGACTGATTTCTCAGAAGCTTGGGAGGCCTTGCCTTGGCCAGAGGGCGCTCTGCAGGAAGACAGGGTCACACAGCTTAGGAGACACCTCCTAATGTTTACTTGGCATTTCCCAGTGTCTTCAGATGTGTTCCCAAAAGCAGACCCGGCAGCAGGGATAAGTGTGGAAGTGGTGATTTCTTCGGAATCTTCCCAGGAGTTGGGGAGGGCACTGCGAAGAGGAGGCCAAGCAAGGATACAAGGTGGAATGGACGGCTGCAGAGGGGAAGTGGCTCAGGCTGCAGGGAGCTCTGGAGATGGAAGCGGATTTACCCGCTTCTACCCAGGGTCACTGGTTGGCCTGCCTGTGGGGGGTCAGGGAAGTGATCTCCCAGCACTAACCTCCCCATGCAGGTGGCCAGAGCAGGTTCCTGAGGGTAGTTTGCAGACAAAGACGCAGGTGTCGCTGTTGAGAGTGAACCACATATCCTGCAATAGCAGAGGGTCTGAGGGCACGCAGGCAGAGCAGCGACAGCCTCTGCTGTCCCCGTGCCCTGTCTGCTACTGACTGGCTTGGCTGGTGGTCTCATGAGGCTACTGACCGGCTTGGCTGGTGGTCTCATGAGTGGTTTATTGTGACTGTTAGTTATCACGTACCGATTCCTTCACTGAGTCCTCAAAGGAACCCTGTTATCACTCGCATTTTATGGGCAAAGAAACTGAGGCTCAGAGACTCTGCTGTGACCTGCCCAGGGTCTCCCCCAGCTGTGGGGTGCTCTGCTTGCTCTTCCCTCAGCCATATTCCAGGGTTCAGCACCTGTTTGTCTCCTCCATGAGTGGAGCCTCTGCCTGTTCACCATCACATACCGCCCCCCCGCCCCCGCCCGTCTAGCAGTGCCAAGCATGTAGGTAAAAGGCGCTCGATGCAGGAGGGATTCCAGATCCCGGAGTTCAACTACCATACCAGGCTTCCTGGGACCACGCCTCATGGTGCAGTGATGCCCCCTCCATGCCAGCCTCATTCTGGAGGCCACAGGTGCCTGTGGACACTGGAGTGGGTATCTGCTGGTAGGAAGACAGGCCTGCAGAGCTCCAAAGCACCAGGGAGGTGGCCGCTGCCTCCTGACAGCATCCTCCCTCTCCTGTGCAAAGGCGCTTGGGAAGTTGCCTCTAAACGATTCAGGTCTCCTGGGAAGGGCAAGAGTCTATTTTTGGGTAGTTTTCAGTGTGTCCCTCAAGTTGCCCCCAAAAGTTGTATAGCATTCACAGCCTGTGTATGAATTTAAAATTAAACTGTAAGGTTGCTAGTGGCCTCAGGAATGTGCCACAGATGCTCCTGAGGTCCTGCCTGAGAGCTCAGAGGGCTGTGGACGGACCCTAGACAACTAAATGCAAAGCTGTATCGATTGGATGCAGTGTTTAGACTGTAGACATGCCAAAGAAAAAACACATTTGCTTTCAGAGGCCGCCTGGGGCCTCGCAGGGGCTGAGAAGGAAGGGCTGCGCCAACTTTTTGGAGAGAAGTGGAGAACACAAGCGTGCTCCACCCTCGCCTGTCCTCCACCTGGGCCCACGTCCCTGGGGGAGATTGTGACCAGGTACCCAGCTGTGCTGCCTCTCCCCGGTGCTGAGAGGGCTGGGCCCAGGCCAGGAGGGGGAGAGATGTCACACTGAGTGAACCTAACGTGGCCAGGGCTGGGCAGAGCTGTTCTTGCAGGCTTGGGAGCTCCCGGCGGGTTGCCACCTGCCCTCCCCCCTCAGACTAAATATCCAATCCCGCGGGTAAGTGAGAAATTCTTGGCCTCGGCCCTCCTGGCCTCTCTGGCTTGAAATCGCCTTCCTTCGTGGACCTGGGACTGCTGTCTGCCCTTGGCCTGTTCTTCCTGTTCCTCACCCTAGGGGTTCAAGCTGATTGGCAGACTTGTCCAAGCATGGAGGGCAGGGGCACTGGCCTTGGGCAGCAGCCAGGAGGGGGAAGGGGAGGGGAGGGAGAGGCAGAGACAGACAGATATAGATGGAGTCAGAGAACATCTGAGAGCAAGAGACAGCAAGACAGGCGGTGACATGAAGACAGAGAGATAGAGACAGAGAGAGGGGAGGGAGAGAGACGGAGGGGGAAGACGAGGGAGGAGAGTGAGAAGTGGGAGAAAGAAATGGAGAGAGAAGAGGGAGGGGAGAGAGAGGAGAGGCAGGGAGAACAGACATGCCCTCTGAGAATGAGAGGAAGGAGTTCTTAGCTGCCTGAAGGGAGGGTGAGAGGAGAGGGCGCGGCAGAGCGTGGGCTTCTGGCTAGGTTTCCTCAGCGCCCATTGCGCCCTGTGGGGGAGGCCTGTGTCCTCCAAGGTGGGCCTGAAGCACTGCAGCAGGGACTCCCAGCGTCCCCACATCTGCTTCCCATCTGAGTTGCACTCACCCGGGCTCAGGCTCACATCCCTAGGCTTTCCTGCCAGAGCCCCGTCCACTCCACACAGCCTCTGTGACTCCCTCGGGGTGTGCTGCCCCACCTGCAGGGCCAGTGGAGCCTGGCTGGAGAGTCAGGGGCACCGTGAGGACAAGGGGGCCTTCAGGGGGAGAGGGGACCTCTGGTTCTGGCCTGCAGGGGACGTGGGTCCTTGCCGAAGGGCTCTGAGAGGCACCCCAGTCCACTGGATCCCCAGGTCCCCCACCCCCTGTGGCATAACCAACCTGTCCACCCAGACTGGGAAGTGGGATACCAAGGCTGAGCCCACAACAGCCAAGGATGGCCACATGAAGAGAAGATGCACAAAGTCCTTGAAAATGGTGGTTGTGTAGAAAACATGTTTTTTGTTGTTGTTGTTGTTTGTTTGTTTGTTTGAGTCAGAGTCTCACTCTGTTGCCCAGGCTGGAGTGCAGTGGCACGCTCACGGCCACTGCAGACTCGACTTAGCAGGTGATCCTTCCGCCTCAGCCTTCCAAGTTGCTGGAACTACAGGCCTGCACCACTGTGCCCGGCTGATTTTTGTGATTTATTATAGAGATGAAGTCTTGCCAAGTTGGTCTCGAACCCCTGAGCTCAGGCAATCCTCTCTCCTCAGCCTCCCAAAGTACTGGAATTACAGGCTTGAGCCACCGCACCTGACCTATGAAAACATGTTTTTTTAAAGCTAATAAGTGGGCTTTGTGTAAACACCTTTCTCCAGTGTCTTTGTGGGTAGCTGTTTACCCCCTCCCTGGGATCAGGCCCATCCTCCCAGGGCTTTTTGACCCTCTACTGCTGCACCCTGGCCTCTTACTGCCTCTCCTTATTAATCTATTCATTCATTCATTCATCTCACCGTTCATTCAATAATTCATTTATTCAACCACTCATTTCTTTCCTTCCTTTTTTTTTTGAGTTGGATTCTCACTCTGTCACCCAGGTTGGAGTGCAGTGACACACTGACGGCCACCCCAGCATCGACCTGCTGGGCTCCAGCGATCCTTCCGTCTCAGCCCTACAGGCACCCACTACCACACCCAGCTAATTTCTGATTTATTGTAGAGACAAGGTCTCGCTAAGTTGTCCGGGCTATGGTCTTGAATCTGCGGGCTCAGACAACCCACTAGCCTCGTCCTCCCAAAGTGCTTGGATTACAGGCTGAGCCACCGAATCCAGCCCACTCATTTTTTCATTTGATGTTTATTGAGCTCTGTGCTAAGCTCGTGGTCCAAAGAGGTGAGCCTTACAGTGAGAGCTTGAGAGGAGTCAGAGAATAGCACAGGAAATGTCATAAGTTAATGTGCAACCAAGTGGCTCAGCCAGTAGATACCCTAGAATGTTGGAGAAGTGAGATGGAAATCTTCCCAAAGAATGTAAGAGTTTGGTTGTCTACTCCTAGGACTTGGCCTTCTAACAGAACGGAACTCCAACACCCTTGAGTCTGCCCTGAGGCTGCTCAGGCCTGGAGTGACAGGAAGACACTAGAGACGGAGATTAGGTCATAGAAGGGGACACTCTAAGGTGTGGACCCAGCTGTGACTCCTGCTTGCCATCTGAGACTAAGCACCAGCTCCTCCATCCTCTGGAGAAAGGAGGCCAGGGCACAAGAGGCAACACAAAGGGCTGGGAGTTCAGTCAGAAGAGTCTGGCAAGAAGAGGCTTGGGAGGAGAGTTTGGAAGGGAAACTGGGTAAGTAGGAGGGAGATTCTCCTGCAGGGGTGAGGGCTTCCTCAGGAGGGAGGCAAGGGTGGGCGAAGTGGGGAGTGAGATGGAATGGGACGGGGTGTGTGTTTTACACCTCAGGGCAAGGGAGGATACTAAGGTGCACTAGAGCAAGACCGGGGCTCAGGATGAGTGCCAGCTTCCTGTTGGTGCCCGCTTCCTGGGTACTGCAGTAGGTCTAGCACCTGTTCAGTGGTAAGTAGTAAGAGGGATGTTATTGGCTTGTGTAGCTGAGAAGTCCAGTACAGGACAGACTTCAGGCCCATTCATGATTCAGGGCTTTGCCCTCCACCCTTGGCTCAGCCTTCATGCTGCTGGCCTCACTCTCAGGCCGCTTGCCTTCTGCCCTGCAGCTCTCAGCTCCATGGACCTTCCCAGAAGGAGCCCCCAGCAAACATCTCGCTGGTACTGAGGGGCCATGTGTCCTTGCCAGGACCAGTCACTGTGGCTGGGGAGGTACTGTGCTGTGATTGGCCCATGCCAGAGTCATGTGGTCCCAGGGGCTCCCCAAGGGAGAATGGACACGCCAGGAGGGGAATGGTTTTACTGGGTGACAAAGACGCAGCCACTGTCTTAAGAAGTCATGCAGGCTTTTGTGAGGTTCGACTTTTTTTTTATTCCAGGAGAATGTGAGCCCTGTGAGAGCAGTGACGTGGTCTCTCTTGTTCACTGCTGAGACCCCAGGACTCATGTAGAGTGTGCATGTAGAGTATAGATGCTCAGGAAACAATTGCTGAGTGGACTTGGCAGAAGGAGCTCATTGCTAGAACTGCCAGATTCCTGGCCCACGGTTACTGAATGTCTACCCATGCCAAGACCTCTTTCAAGCAATGTACACATTTAAACTCGGTCCTTACACAATTCCATGGCAAAACTGTCATCATCCCTGCATTTTAGTGATGGGGAAACTGAGGCAAGAGGCAGTTACACAGTAAGTAGATATAAGGATTCTTACCAAGGTATCTGGCTCCGGCACTCTTAAGCGCTCCTCGGACCATGTGGCATATGTGCAGAGTCTGGGACTCGAACTTTCAGGGCAAGCCAGCTTTCCAGTTTCCAGTGTCCACAGATGCAGCTTCCTTTGTCTGTAGGTGAAGAGTGTCTCCAACCTCTGCAAGGCTTGTGGAGCAGTGAGGTGAGTGGTTCTGTGGGGCATCTGAGACTGCTCCCAGCTGAAAATCGAATTCCATAAAGTTTCCTGGTTGAAGAACCACAAAAAAGCTGAGTTTATATGTCTGGCCCACTTTCTCCTTCTGCTATTCATTCATTCCAGCTTTACTGAAAAGATGAGTCTGGACCAACTTGTGGTACCAGAGAATAATGAAGGACTTAGAAGAGGATGGGCATGTTGAAAGGACACAACAGCCAACTTGTGGGGGCAGGAACCATTTAAGCAAGAATATGAAATAATAATAATATTGACTTATAACCCACGGGATAAATCCATGAATCCCACTGTAATTGAATTAAAAAAATAAGTGGGGGAAGAAGGAACAACACTTCTTTACAGAAGAATTTAATTAATAAATGTTGAGCCGGGTACAGTGGCTCAAACTTGTAATCCCAGCACTTTAGGAGGCCGAGGCGAGAGGATTACCTGAGTCCAGGGGTTCGAGACCAGCCTGGGCAACTTGGCGAGACCTCGTCTCTACAATAAATCAAAAAGCAGCCAGATGTGGTAGCATGCGCCTGTGGACCCAGCTACTTGGAAGGCGGAGGCATAAGGATCACCTGAGCCCAGCAGGTCAAGGCTGCAGTGGCTGTGAGTGTGCCACTGCATTCCAACCTGGGCGACAGAGTGAGACTCCAACAAAAATAAATAAATAAATGTTGAAAAGTGAGGGAAATACAAAATCACAATTAGTCAAACACAACAGTAAAAATTGTAGGTGAGATCTACCAGTGACAGATGTCAAAAATCAATGGGAGAAAGTTTGTGTAGTCCCAAAATATCTCTCCTGAGATAATTATTAATTAAAGAAGGAAGGGTAGTGGTGGCTTTAGAGTGGAGAAACCTGGCAGACAGGCTTACCTAAGTTATCAAGGTTAACATCATCAGCAACAGGACGTGTCAACAGCATCACTTCCAAGGTGTTCTCACCCAAAATGCATAACCTCATCTATTCACAAGAAATCAGCAGGCACACCCAAATTGAAAGATAGACCACACAGTCACTGAGAAGTATTCATTGAAAAAGTCAAGGTCATGAAAGAAAGGACAGACTAAAGAGCTGTCACAGATGAGAGGAAACTGAAGAGATTCAATAACTAAATGCCATGAACGGAAAAAGGACATTAGGGAAGAAACTGAGGAAATCAAAAAAGAGTATGTACTTGAGTTAATAGTCTTATGCCTGTGGTAATGTCCCCATGTTAACTTGGTAATTGCACTCTGGTTATGCAAGCTACTAGTATTAGGGAAGACCAGGTGAAGGTGCATGTGAACACTCTTCCCTTTTTCCACCTTTTCTCTAAGTCTACAGTTATTTCAAAATGAAGAGCTAAAGCATGTATTTACCGAGCACCTACTTACTGGCAAGCACCTGGGACACAAAAGCTTAGTTGTACAAAGATAACCCTGCCAGGGTTCACTCCTGCTTTCAAGAAGCAGTGTTTCTCAAACTTTTTTTTTTTTTGAGTTGGAGTCTCACTCTGTCACCCAGACCAGAGTACAGTGGCACACTCCCAGCCACTGCAGCCTTGCCCTGCTAGGCTCCAGCAATCCTTCCGCCTCAGCCTTCCAAGAAGCTGGAACTACAGGCGCATGCTACCACGCCTGGCTAGTTTTTGACTTATTGTAAAGATGAGGTCTTGCCAAGTTGCCCAGGCGGGTCTCGAACCCGTGGGCTCAGGCAATCCACTCATCTCGGCTTCCCAAAGTGCCGGGATTACAGGCTGAGCCACCGAGCCTGGCCTTTTGTTGTTGTTGTTGTTGTTTCAAGAGATGAGGTTTCGCTATGTTGCCCAGACTGGTCTTGAACTCCTGGTCTCAAGTGATCCTCCTGCCTTGGCCTCCCAAAGTGATAACTGGTATGAGCCACTGCACCTGGTCATGTTTCTCAAACTTTAATATGCATTCAAAGCCCCGGGGCTCTTGTTAATAAACAGACTATGATCTGCTGTGTCTGAGATGAGGTCTGCCATTCTGCAATCTAACTGCTCCCGTGTGACACTGATGCTGCTGGCCTGGACCACACTTTGAGCAGCAGCGACTTGGAGTGTGGTGGAGAGTGAAAGATGCACATACATGACCACAGGCAAAGTCGGAAAGTAAGCTGGGCAGGGAGAGCTGAGCACACGTGTGACGGGAGCCCCAGGCTTCTCATGTGGGGTCCTGAGCCGAGAAGAGTCTTCTGGCTTCAGCCTGGCTTTCAGAAGTGCTGGCCAGTTCTTTTCAGGCTGCCTCTGGCTGCAGCCTCACTGGGCCGGGACAGGCCAGGACTAAGTGAAAAGGGACAGGTGAGGGTGACTCAGAAATCCCTCTGGTGCCTGTGAGAGCCAGGATGGGGGCCAGGACACACATGTTCCCCTTTAGGCCTCAGTTGGTCAGCACTGACCCAGCTCTCCCTGGACCTGTCCCTCTGACCAGCTTCTGGGAGAGAGTGCTTGTGTGACACATTGCTCCCCAGGGCTCTCTTGGACCTAAGAACATTCAGAGACATTCACCGAACCAGTCAGCCCAGACAACACATGGTTTCCGATGATAGACATGTTCATGCAGATACGGTCACAAAGCGTCTGAGTTATGCTGGGCACTGACTAGCAGCTTCAGCAACACACTGCCTGGTGATGGCATTTTATTCTAATTCTCAGTCCTGCTAAGTGGGCCCATGACATCCCGTCCTGGCCAGCTTCAGGTCAGCAAGTTCCCATAGCACCCCACCCTCAGCATCTCAGTCCATACAAAGTCATCATGGCGGGGTCTCGCTTTGTTGCCCAGGCTCGAACGCCTGGCCCCAAATGATCCTCCCGCCTCAGTCTCCCAAAGTGTGGGATTATAGGTGTGAGCCATTGTGCCTGACCATGTTTCTCAAACCTTATGTGCATTCAAATCACTGGGGCTCTTGTTAATCTACAGACCATGACCTGGTATGTCTGTGATGGGGCACAGCCACTGGGATCCTAGTAGATCAGGTCCCAGTTTAACTCTGCTTCATGGGAAGGCTTGTGACACACACTCATGCAAGGGGACTATGCAGGAAGAAGTATAGAATCATACACAGGTAGCAGCTGGGCGTCTGGTTGGCCGATCTGTAATCCCCAGCCAAACAAGGGGACTCCCCAGGTGGGGCCTGGAGAGGGCTGGCTGAATCTGTAGGGAGCACTTGGCCCCCCCAGCCATGCCTTTGGGAGGAGAAGACTCTAGCACCGTGGTCAGCCAGGAGCCTGCCTAGCCTTGAATCGAATCCTTCCCTGGCCCCCACCCTTTTTACAGCTTAAGTGAAGTCGAAGCTCTCCTCCCTAAGGTTTTCTGAGCCCTATAGACTCGCAGGTCCATGGGCCCCTCTGTGTTCATACCTGCTGGGACATCCCTGCGATGGTCCCAGCAAACCAAACACAAAGCAAATCGTGTGGTCAGTATGGTCAACCAGGCCTGGCCAGCCCCATGCCCAGGGCCTCCCAGGGGGTCCGTTGCAGTTCTCTTCCTCCGTGCTGATGCTGGAGACCTGATGCAGACCCTTGTGGGTTTCTGCTAAAGCTCTGGGTCCTTTCTTGGACAATCAGGTTGGCTAGAGGACACTGCTTCAGAGGAGAAGCATCTCCTCACGTTCCAAGGGTGGGAGAGCTCCCAGTGTCCCGTTTTTGGGTCCCAAGAGACTTTGGGGATCATCTTCCAGCCTAAAATCTCTTCCTTTTGCTTCACCCATCCTGTCCTTTTTGCAGGATTCCATAGGGTCCATCCCCTCCAGGAGGCATCCCCAACTGCCCCAGCACACAGTCTTCCTGTTTTGACTTGCATGTTTTATGTCAGACTCATCATAGGCTGCCGGAAAGCATGAGAGTTACTGATGCAGACTCTGGACTTAGTTGTCTGGGTTCAAGTCCCAGGCCTGCCATTTGGGAGTTGTGTGGCCTTAAGCAAATGTTTTAATATTTCCAGGCCTCAGTTTCATCGTGTTTAAAAGAGAGAGAAAAAAATAAAGATAAAAAAATTTTAAATCTTCATTAAAAATTAAGATTAAAAAAGAGAATGTGCATATAAACTACAGAGACTAAAACCCAGCATGCGGTATTTTGGTTTTGGTGTTTTTGAGTCGGGGTCTCACTCAGTCATCCAGGTTGATCCTCCTGCCTCAGCCTCCCAAGTAGCTGGGACTACAGAAACACGCCACCGCACAACTAATTTTTTTTATTTTTGTAGAGACAAGGTCTTGCTATGTTGCCCAGGCTGGTCTTGAACTCCTGGGCTCAAGTGATCCTCTTGCCTTGGCCTCCCAAAGTCTGGGATTACAGGTATGAGCCACTGCACCCAGCCAGCACTTACTTTTCTACCGTTTTACAGCAGAGTCTCAGATGGATTGCCGCTGTGATCCTAGGAAGAGGAATTATGGGTGATGACTGCAGCCACAGCGCATCAAGACCGGTTCTGTGACCCCTATCTTGGGGCTTCGGAAGCTGTCTGCCCCACAGGTGATGATGACAAAGTATGGAAATCATCAGATGTCCTGAGGGCGATTTGAAATGAGGGAAAAATGACAGTCCAGGGTTTGAATTTGCTGTTTTTCCACACTTGTTTTGTTTTGGCCTGCTTTGGTGGAGGCTGAGGGAATGGGAAGGTATCAGTTTGCCAAGTGTCTCCAGGCTTGTCCAGGAGGAGCTGTGTTCTGATGAGTTCCTGAGCACGATCTGAACATCTGCCAGATGGAGGGGTGGGCCTGCCTACAGCCCTTCTGCATGGGCTTGGCCAGCTCTCCGGGGGCCTGTGTGGGGCCCGGAAGTGAGAGCCTGTCTGGCTGCTGGCAGCTGGTACCCCCCATGCCTAGCTCCTTTACTGAGGTGATTAAGAGCAAACACCACTCCGAGTTCCAGCCTACTCTTCACAAGCTGTGTGACCTGGACAAGTGGCTTAATCTCTCTGAGCATCTGTATCTTTATTTGCAAAATTAGGACAATAATGATTGTCTCCTTGGGTACCCTTGAGGAGTCAATAAACAATGTATACCAAGAGCATAGCATAGTGTCTGATAACTGGCATACCATTGCTATTATTATTTTCCTGATCTTGGGATGTGAAAACTGCTTTGGATACGCCTCACTTCCCAGATTTTTATACATTTATTTTGTTCTGTCCTCTAAGCTTTCTAGATAAGCTTCTTTTGAAAAATTCTGACCCTGCTTTGGCTGAATTTTGGGGAAAATTAACAGTGAATGAGGGTTGTCCCTCGGACCTGGCCACCATGGCGGTAACTGGAAATCTGGAGAAGCGGAGGCAGACAGTGACGCGAACCTGAGAAGTGGGCTACTTGAGATGTTGAGGCATAGTTCAGCTCTTGCTCTTTTCTCACATGGGGGTGTTCACCCATAGTCTTGACTCCCCAGCAGATTTTAAGCCCCCAAGGCACCTTGTGCCTAAGTTTCTTTGCCTATAACGTATAAATAGTAATGCTGTCAACTTCATAGGGTTGGTGTGGGGATTAAATGCACTAATATACACATACAGCTAACACCAAAGCCTGGCAAATAGTGTGTGTTCAGCAAATATTGCCTCTTCCTGTTTTATGGTGTCTATGATGATGTTCAGTGTGGCCTTTGTCCTAGGCTCTGGCCCTGGAGGTGGGTGCTTTCTACTCTGATTGGCCATCCTCCACTGAGATTCCCCACCATGACCATGTTGTGGGGTTGGGAGGTGATGCTGAAGGAGCTAGTGCCATCTGTCTGCAGACCCTGAGTGCTCTCTGGCTGGCCAGCACATGGGGGCTGGGTACAGACAGCCTGATGTGGAAGGTGGCTCAGTGGCTTCGGGGGCCACCAGCCCTTCCTCTGAGAGACGCTGTCTATCCAGCCTGGCGACACACGGTGAGATCTGACTTCCTCTCTCTGCTGCTTTTTAATAGAGGACAACTTTTCCTTTCTGGGTCCTTGCCCCCCGGCCGTCCAGCTCAGCCTCAAACTTGGAAATGGGGTTTGAAGCTTTTGAAGCTCCCCCACTCCTTGAGATCCTCGTTTGAAGATTATAGTTCCACTAGCACGTCCCCATGTCCCCTCCTCCCCCCTTGTCCCATCAGGAGTGCCCTTCGTTTTCTTGTTCAGTCATTTCTACAGAGCTGTGAAAACCTTACCCTCCCATTCTCACAGAGGAAGAACCGGGTCTCAGAGGCTTGGATCTTTCCTGAAGGGCATGAGCCGAAATGGGGAGCAGCTGGGTGTGAATCCAGGCTGCCTGGCGCCAGCTCCCTCTCTCCTCTCCACTGCCTTCCTCGGGGAGGATACAGATGCCGGACACCCACAGAGCGATGTGCCAGGTGGGAGCAGAAGGAGAGCTGGGAAGGAGGAGGCTGTTGTTGCATTTGTGTCTCAGGCCAGCCATGACTGATGAAACCACCTCCCAGACCCAGAGACTTTCCTCTCTGCAGGACTCCCATCTGGCGGGGAGGAGTGCTTCTGCCTCGTTCTGGATCTTCCCCTGCAGCCCGAACTGCCTGGCCTCTGACTCCTTGCAGTCCTGCCGTGGGGTCTGTGCAACCTGCGCAGAGGAAGGGCTGGTGGCCCTCGAAGCCACTGAGCCACCTTCCTCCTCAGGCGGTCTGTACCCAGTCCCCACGTGCTGACCCGAAGGAGAGCACTCAGGGTCTGCAGACCAACTGCTGGGGGGCTCCTGGCTCGGTTACTGTCTGAAGCTGGCGGCTGCCTTTGGCTTCTGCCCCAGGAGCTACAGACAGGCCATGGGGGGAGGTCTCCAAGGCGGCTAGACCCAGAGTTAGTTGACTGAGGACCAGCTGGGTTGAGGCAGGAATATTTCAGCCTTCTCGAGGCAGACAGCTTCAGCTCAGACTTCTGCTTTGCAAGCCTTTCTCCCATCACTGACTTTCTGCTCTGCTCCTCGGGGCTGAGGTTGTCCATACACGTCAGGTCCCCTCCCTGGGCCCTTCCCCAGGCAGCCCTGCTTTGAGGGTTGCTGACTGCTCTCCCTCCATTCTGTCTGCCTGGTGGCCACCCTTCCAGCCAGGCAGAAGCAGCAGATATCAGGAGGTGCTGCCATCCCCAGGGCTTGGGAAAGTACTTGACCCTGACTCCCTGGGAAAGAGGAATGTTGAGGGAGCTAAGTGGGATCTGCTGTCCTGGCTGGTGGCCTGTTGGGCCATGGGTGAATGATGGGGACAGGCCAGGGAATTCGGGGACTCTCCCAGCACAGGGAAACAGACTGAGGGCCTGGGGCAGGCAGGAGGTCCATCCTTCATGCCAGAGCTCCAGGCTGGCTCTTGAGGTTGTCCCCTTCTTCTTGACACACTAAGATGCACAGTGTCCTTGGAGCCTGGGTCCTCATCACACTCTCCAGGAGGCTTGGTTGGCTGCCCAGGTTAACAGGGAGGGCACAGGGGACAGGGAGGTGGAGGACTGTTAGGCCTCAGTCTTCCCAAGTGGAGATGGCAATGGATGGATGAGCGGTCTCTGTCTCTCCAGCACAAGCCTTCCTACTTTGGGTTTTTCTCATGATCTTTCCTGCTCACCTTCCTCTTCCTCTTAACTCCTCTGCCCCCTTCAGATCTTAACTCCGAAGTCCCTTCCTTCGGGACACCTTCCCTGACTCCCCACATCTGTATCAGGCCACCTTATCCTAGCTCTACTTCTACTGTAACTCAAGACCGATTTGCTTACCCAATTATTTGCTCAGTGTCTACCTCTCCCACTAGACCAGAAGCTCAAGAGGGCAGGGATCTGGTCTGTATTGCATGTTGCTATCTCCCCAGCCCAGCACCTAGCACATAGTAGGCATCCAACAAATGCTGAAGCACTGTGCAAAGATTTTGCTGCTTAAAAATAAATGCTAGCCAGGCACAGTGGCTCACACCTATAATCCTAGCACTTTGGGAGGCGGAGGCAAAAGGATTGCCTGAGCCCACGGGTTTGAGACCAGGCTGGGCGACATGGTGAGACCTTGTCTTTACAATAAATAAAAAATTAGCTGGGCATGGTGGTGCATGCCTGTAGTTTGAGCTACTTGGAAGGTTGAGGTGGAAGGATCACCTGAGCCCAGCAGGTTGAGGCTGTGGTAGCCATGAGCATGCCACTGCACTCCAGCCTGGACAACAGAGTGAGACTCTGACTCAAAAACAACAACAACAAAAAACAACAACAAAAACAAAAGCTGGCTGAGAACCACTAGCCCAGAGGGCTCCCTCTAGTTCTGCATCTATAGCCTTAATACTTGGATGTAGTTGCTTTCACTGCCAAAATATTGCTGACCCTCCCCATGGAAACCTTACTTGGCCTTATCTTAACATCCAGGGTGTTTAGAAGGGAGCGATATGGATAATACTGGGAAGAAGAATAAAGAGATCTCAAGAAAGGCAGGGCAGTAGTCTGGGCCCACCAGAAAGGCAGGTGGGGGTGGGAGAAAGAGACAGGCCCCAGGGTAAACCTCCCCTGTGTCTTGAGGGTTTGCTTATCTCGGGCCTTGTCCATGGAGCTGCCTGCACAGGAGGGGCAAGCGGCTACTCAGGCCCCAGGGACCACAGCCCTTGGGTCAGGTGTTTCCTTGCCTTAGTGTCAGTGGCTAATTCTGTTCTGTCCCAGCCTGTTCCAAGCAGCCTGGAGATGTCCAGGCATGTCTTTTCCAGGCCAGATGTGAGTCCACTGGCTGTGATTCTTGTGTGGGGAACAGGTGGGTTGGTGATTATTCTAGCAGGAGCCGGGTGTGACTGAGCGCTAAGGAGATGAGTCTATTGAGCTGTCGAGAACAGAAACAGCATCTTTTTCTGAGCTATAGTGGGAGAGGGAGGCAGTCCAGGGCTGGAGCAGGAGCCTCGGCCCCTCTGGCAGATTCTGGAGTGTCCTGGAAGTTCCCACAGCCTCCCAACCACCTCATCTCTCTAATTGACATCCCATGTGTCGTGAACATCTGCTGTGTGCATACGTCTGGCGCTCCTTCCCCTTCCTCAGAGAACAGAAACTCAGCTTTCCTTTGGGGAACTCCAGTTCCCCAATTCCATGCATTCCTGGGGGCACTGCCAGCCCTGAGCCTCTCCCACCCTTCCATTCCCAAAGGGGAAGCACAGGACCCAAGGCCTAGCAAACTCTTCCCTGGGGAATCTGAATGGGAATCACCACCAACAGCAGAAGGAGTCACCCTCAGTCAGACAGCACGTGAGTTCCCACCAGCCGGACCCCTGGGACTGTCCTGGTCCCAGCCTTCCCAGGCCTGGGTGTTGAGCACCTCCGTTCATGCCCTGCGTCTTCCCAGTAAATCCTTTTCCCCTACGTGAGTGTGCTGCAGCCAGCTACTAGGACCTGCAGCCAATGCTGATGTGTATCTGCATGCTGGGTCCCAGCCTTCTCTTTAGTTCTTTCTCTCTCTCATGCTCCACCTGCAAATCTGTTTTTACTGTCCACACTCTGAGACCTTTAGGTCCCCTGACTTTTCTCTCCTATCAAGGTCTCCTCTCAGGAAAGGGTCTGCGTCCATCATCTATGCTTCAGAGTAAATGAAACCATTGCCTGTGCCTTCAGGGCAGATGCCTTTCTAGCTCCATGGCTCGGTGTTGACTGAGTGCCTTTGCCCCTTGTTTCAGGAATCGGGAGTGTTCGTGAAGAAGTGGAAGAAGTGTGTCAGGGGATAGAGTGAACTTTCCCTAACATACTCTGAAACGAACCCTGAGCCCTTCCCCTGACACCCATCAGCCCCTTGCATGCAGTGGGAATTGCCTGGTCAGGAACTGGCCTGCTGGGCAGTTGTTTATCTCTGTCCTCTAAGTATTATCCCCTGATGCCTATGAGGTTGTGTTCCCACTCGAGTACCCTGCCTTAAGCTGTGCGGTCTTGACTAAGTGCCACTGAGCACCTGGAGTGTGTAAAGTTGATTCAGGCATCTGAGGTACAAATGTGTTGAATTGTTAGTGGTCGCAGTCTTGTGGAGCAGACAGAGCCCACCCCCACGTTGCCTACATGAGCTGCCAAGCCTGTTGTCCTGGGACCCCAAAGGAGAGAGGATTGCTGTCCTCCCAGCTCTGCTCTTTTGGCTTGTGTGTAAATTAGGGTTCTTTGGTTGCAAGCAATAACAAGGACTCCGATTTGTACATAATAAATGAGTAGTGTTACCAGACAGATTCAGGAGCAAACAGGAAAGAAATAAGAACTGAGCAAATGGGTACTAAGCAGGCCAGGAATCTAGGTAGCAACAGGGCTCTCGGACCTTTCTGGGGCCGTGTCTTTTGTGGGAGTTGTTGTTGGGTGGTTTGGTTATAACTGGGTGTCTCTGCTTCATGTCATATCATGTGGCAGCATGGGCCGTGTGTGCCATGGCAGCATGGGCCGTTTGTGCCATGGCAGGTGTTGCAGTTGGCTGCCCCGTCACATGGGAAGAGCAGTTCCCAGAGAAAAACAGATGCTGGCCCCAGAATAAGCGAGGAGGGATGCTGACCAGATGGACAGAGCCCACGATGGTCAGAAGCCAAAGGTGGCACTCTGCCTGCTGGTGCCCCATTACCTTGTGCTGTTCCCATGACAACCATAGGCCGAGCAAAGGCTATAACCCATGAAAACCGCTGGGTGCAGAGAGGGGCCAGTCCCCTTATGTTATGAGGCCCCAAGAGGAAAGGACTGTGTCTCTGGTCACAGCCTATGTTCTAACCTGCAACCAGTGCTGAACAAGGAGGGCACAGAGGGTCATAGTGGGCCCACAGGCTCTGCTTCTGGTGGGAATTTTCCATACCAGAAATGGGGTGGAGGTGAGGTCCCTATGGAAGCCATTGGGAGGAGTCACCCTACGTGTGAAAAGTTAATGTGGATTCTCCATAAACATCTATACAACTGCCCTGCCCCACTGTGGTGCTGGGAGGCAGATCCAGCTCCCCTCCATGTCTAGCACCACGCCCAGGTCTAACAGAAGTGCCACTCTCGAGTCCTGGATCCTGGACCCCAGAGAGGAAGAACCACCAGCTGAAGTGAACTGCCCCGACATACACAAACTCAGTCCCAGCTGTCTGTCTGGGGCTGGGTCCAGCTCCCAGCTCTAGAGACTTCCTGAGCTGTCCTTGGGGCTCCCAAGGCAACCCTTCCTCCAGGTCTCAGTGCAGCCCACTGCAGAGATGCCAGGCTCAGGTTTCCTTTCCACCCTGGCCTTCCCTGGCCAGACCTGCCAGATCCTCGCAGACCCAGACAAGCCCCCTCGCGCCTGGTGTTTACAGTCTGCGAGTGCTCGTGGCCACTTCTGCAGCCCTGGCAGGGCCGGCTAGACTCGCCTATCCTGCCCACCCTCGTTAAGTCAGTCGATGGTCTGGCCTTTGCCTCTGCTTTGCTCTCCTGGGGGCCTGTAGCTGCAGCTGACAATACCCCCCACCCCAGCCCAGGGCCCCGGGCTGACAGGCGTCTCTGCAGCCCCTGGCCCTTCCCCTTGTGCCACAGTCCCTTGGCATCTTTCTAATCCCCTTCCCCCAGGAGATCTTGTTTCAGCCTCATCTGGTCAGCCCTCACCTCCTGGCCCCTTCTGGAAGGTTCAGCCTCCAGCTTGAGAACCCAGGGTGTGGGGAGGGACAGGCCTGTTTCCACCCGCTCCGTCCTTCCCGTCCAGCTGGCACAGGAGGATCTTCCCTTGCTGGCCTCACACGCTGTGCCGCTTCCGTCCCTTCCAGCTCATTAGCGCAGGCATGAAGGCGCCCGGCCTCCTCCTGCCCCGCACTGGGCCCACAGCCCCTTCGCCCCCAGTCCTGTGCGCTTCCCGCTCCCAGAGCCTTCGGTGCAGCACGAGGCCTCCTCCTTTGCCTGTGCCTCGTGTGGGTCCCTTCTCCCCATCTCTGGAAGTTGCTCCCTGGCTTGGCTCTCAGGGTCTGGACTTGGGAGGCCTTTTTCTTGGGCCACCTGTGGATCTAGACAAACCTCCCTCTACTAACTCTGGACCAAGGTGAGAGCTTGCAAGCTGGTCCTGTGGGGCAAGCCCGAGAGGTCCTGAACCCCAGGCTGCATGGGACCTCCTCAGGCATCCAGCCCTTCCCCTGTCTCCTGGAACTCATTAATACCATCCCAGGTTTTTATGACAGCTGACTTCCCCTTGCCTTTAATGAGAAGTGTCACATGGACCTTGGTTAAATATACCCGATCCTTTGCTGTCCTTGCACCCTATGCTCACTCACCAAGCCTGGGCTGAGCCAACATCTTTTCCAGTGCAGTTTTCCCCTTCACACTATCCTTGGTGGCATGCAGAACACTGCTCTCTGCCCTATATGCAGAACAGACAAGTGAACAGAAAAACTGTCTGGGTGTGCATGAAGATGTGACAGGTCTTCTCTTGCTCTCTTTTTCTCTGGGTTAAGGGGTTTCAAGGCCTTCTCTGGGGGTATATGTGCTGTCTGTCCTTGCTGCTTATTTATCCTTGCCCTCCAGATTTGCCCCGAGTTATTCTAACCCCTGTCTGGGACTCCAGCAACTAAGCCTGTACCTCTAGGCCAGGTGAGCACTGGAATGCCACAAAACACAAGCAGCAGGGCACGGTGGCTCCTTGCCTGTAATCCCAACACTTTGGGAGGATGAGGCAGGAGGATCAATTGAGGCCAGGAGTCAAGACCAGTCTGCATGACACAGCAAGATCCCATTTCTAAAGAAGAAAAACCATTTAAAAGGTCTAGAAATCACACCTCTTTTGAGGAGGCATCACAGTGGCAAGGGTTTCAATTGCAGATTTATGTCCACCAGTGTGTCCAGTCATGTGGTAGGATGCACTCCTTACTGTGAGTTACGCTTAAAATGCTCAAAACCCACTGTCCCCAGCTGACCTGTGCTGCTGGCACTGCTCCGTGTAGCAGTGGGGACTCCATCATCTGTGAGTCTGATGGTCTCCAGGGTTCCCATGTGTTCAGGGCATGTGGAAGAAAGGACCAGAGAAGGCAAAACCTGGAACACTCTGTCCATTGGGATCTGGGGGGCAACGTAGGACGGCTGATGGGGAATGGAGGACGTGGAGGGGCTGCAGGCGGGATAGCCCCTGAGGCCTTTTTAGACCCTGTGGTTCTGCTGAGGCTCCCCCTTGACACTGCATATATCACCCCACATGCTGGGAAGCTCCTGGCTCCTCCTGCCCAGAGATATGGTGTCAGGAGGCACCATAGTTCTGGCTCCTTGTCACAGGGGATGCCCCCAGCGGGGCATGCACCAATCCAGATATCAGTACTGCCATCCACACAATGAGAAACACATACTGCTGCTGTCTCTTGCTCCCTGCTTCTTCCTCCCCAGCTGGGGTTCTTGGCCAAAGGCAAGCAAGACTGTCTGGTTGGACTTCATAAGGCAGGCTCTGAATTGTGCACTTAGCTCCTCCAGCAGTGTCACCCGCCTGGGTTGGCATGTCCCTGGCAGCTTTGGGGCCGTTTCCTCTTTCCTTGGAATGAACAGTCCATAAGCCCTGTGTAGAGGTCTGGTGCACAGAGTTGTCCAACAAATGTAAGTGGAAGAATGGATCGCTCTTGAAAGTGTTCCAGTGACCAGGCAGCACAGTGGCTTGTCAGGGACTCTTTGGGCGCTGTCAAAGACGATTCCTCCCCCTTTGCCATGGGCTCACAGGTCATGTGGAGCAATGGCAGACACTGCTTGTGGTATGGCAGTCCATACTCCTTCCCAAGTCCTTGAGAACAAGATCCTTCTAACAGCCAGGAGCCCTAATGTTGGCTTTGTTTCTGCACCATGGTGGCCACTTGTAAACAAATCAGGGCATCAAACAAACCAGCCAAGCCCCAATTAAGAAGGCTGTGTACATTCCTCTCAAATCCATCCACTTGCTGGGTCCCCAACTCATTTGTCCCAGGAGAAAAACATTTGTACTTTCTGTCCTCCTCTCTTCCAATCCCAGGGACCCTCCACACCCTGAAGTTGTCGTTATCTCTTCCTCCCACGTCTTGCCCCTGGGGAAGGTCGGACGAGCATGAGGCAGAGACACAGATGGCTAAGACTGGCATTAGGCTCATATTTAAGGATGAGGTCAGGTCCCCTTGTGCCATCTCTCTGGCTCTTCAGTCTCTCCTCCCTGGTCCTCCAGGATTCCCTGGCTTGTAGCCTAAGGGAGCCCTCAGAGGTTGAAGGACTCCTAGCAGCAGCAGTGAGGTCCCTGGAGCTTCGGGAGGAAAGGCCTGCCTGTCTTCCCACAGGTCATGCTCTCAATGTCTGAGAGGAGGAGCCCAAGGCCAAGAGTGGAGACGAGATCCAGGTTAAAGAGAGGTCATGAAGTCGCCAGAAGACCCTGGGCCTTTCATGGGCTCCTTTCATGTAGAAATTCTTTCTACAATGCCCCATCCAGCCTCTCCTTGAATACTTCTAGGTCAGAGAGCTCATTACTCAGCAGTGGGGTCTGTCCTGCTGTTGGACAACTCCAAGTGTTGCATTTACTGTGTGTGGAAATCCAAGTGTTGCATTTACTGTGTGTTGCATTTACTGTGTGTGCATTCCCATGTTTTTTCTTGTCCCTGATCCTGAATCTGGAATGATACTGTGAACCCCGCTGTGGCAGATATAATACTGTTAACTGTCCATGTTCTGTGACATCTTGGTAGCACTGACGAGAGTTAGCCATGCTTTCCTGCTTTCAGTTTTCTCTCTTTGGATTCTGGGCCACTTCCTCTGTCCACTTGAGTATTTCTTCATTATCTGCTTTGCAGGATGACACTTCTTTCCCAGCCTCCAAGTACTAAACCTTTAACTCTTTAAAAAAAAATTTTGTATTCATTTTAAAGATGTGGGGTGCAACTCAGGATTAGGTAGATAAGTGCTCATTTTACCGGTAAACTTTGAATCTCCCTTAAAATCTTAACTTTTAAAGAAATATTATTGAGCCATATTTGTATGTCATATAATTCACCATTTTTGAGTGTATAATTTTTTTTTGTATGTTTAGTAAGTTGTACAACCATCACTCTAAATCAATATGAGAACATTTTAATCACCCCACTAAGATCCCTTGTGTCCATTTTCTGTTAAACTCCTCCCTCAGCTCTCCCTGGAATATACTTTTGCTCTCTCTTTTTTGTTTGTTTTTTTGAGTTGAAGTTTCACTGTCACCCATGCTGGAATGTGGTGGCATGATCACAATGATCATGGCTCACAGCAGCCTCCGCCTCCTGGGCTCAGGCAATCCTTCCACCTCAGCATCCCAAGGAGCTGAGACTGTAGGCATGCATCACTACATCCAGTTAACTTGTTTGTTTTTTACAGAGATGAGGTCTTGCTATGTTGCCCAGGCTGGTCTTGAACTCCTGGGCTCGAACAGTCCTCTTGTCTTGGCTTCCCAAAATGCTGGGATTACAGGTGTGACCTATCATGCCGACCTCTCTCTCTCTCTTTTTTAAAAAAAGTTTTTTAATTAGAGAGATAGGGTCTTGCTCTGTTGCCCAGGCAAGAGCAATGGCTCAATCACAGCTCACTACAGCCACCACCTCCCTGAGCTCAAGGACTCCTCCCACCTCAGTCCCCCCGAGTAGCTGAGATGGCACTACAGACACATGCCACCTCACCCAGCTTTTTGGGGGTCTTTCATATAAATGGAATCATATGATACGTGGTGTCATGTGACTGGCTTCTTTCACTTAGCGTAATGTTTTTGAGCTTCACCCACGTAGTAGCATGTAACTGTACACAGCTCACTCCTGACTGCTGAGTGGTATTGCGTTGTATGGATGTGCCAGATTTTGTCCATCTGCCCAGCCATTGGTGGGCCTTTAGCTGACAGCCAGAGTTTGGTGTTTATGAGTAATGCTGCTGAGTACACTTGTGCGTAACTCTTTGTGTGGCCGTAGCCAGCCCATAGCTCGTCTCACTGTGAAGGCAGTCTCTTCTGAGCCCGAAACTGTCATTGCCACAGCTGTCAAGCCCACGTCCACAGCCTTTTCCTCCTGGGCCCATGGTGGCTCTGCATGTTCCAGCCCTCCCTGATGTAAGTCTTGACCATGTAAGTGAGCTCTGGCCAAGGGAACATGGATGGGGTGATGCTTGCCTCTCCCGGCCATTGACCATAAACAGCCCATGAAATCTTCCGCCTCCTTTTCATCTCCCCATCTGTTGGCTGAGTGTGAAGAAGGAAGAATGGCTGTAAGACCCTGGAGCTTCATCATGGAGGGAATCCCAGTCCTTTCATGGATCTCAGATCTCCGTGGAGCAGAGCCCTCCTTCCCCTGCTAAACACGGAAAACTCAACACACTGTTGTGAGGCTGTGTGGAAAGCAGTTAGCCTGCTATGACGAATGCAAGCCCAGAGCAAGTGGGTCCCTCTTGTACCCAGGTGTCCTGCCAACGTCTAAAGCTTGCCAGAATCCATCTACAAGACTTCTCTGGTATCCCAATTGCGCCCTGTATTCATCTTCACTTAGGCCACCTTCTCCTGGATGGGCTTCAGGGCTGTAATTCTGCATTTAAAACATGGCTACAGAATCAAGGGCAAAACTTTCATTGTGTCCTAGCAGCTTGGAGTGCACTGTTGCCATCCCTGCTTTGAGCCCAGGATTCTGTCCCAAGCAGCACTAGACCTTTTGGAAGGTGGTGGTGCTCGTTTATCTTGGACCAGTGGCTCACTAGACTCTCCCTATTTGGCAGTTTGTACAACCACCCCCTTTCCCCAAATTTAGGGCATTTCACATGAACTGCTATCAAAGCAAGCAAGACTCTTTAGTCCTTAAATAAATTATTACTTTTTTGGGACCAAGATGCAAGACTTTTTACTTTACTAAAGCTCAACTTGCTTTTATCATCCAGCTTTATCAATTCTTGCAGTTCTATGCCATGTGAAACTTTGATAAAAATGCCTTTTTTGACCTCATCCAAACTGCAGGAAGTCTTGTACAGCCCTGTCCCATGCATGGTGTGGATCCCAGTGACCCTTGCGCATTCATCAGTGTGGGGAATGACGGTCTGACATCTCCATGTGTGCCCAACCACACGACCATTGACTCCACATGTTCCCAGCCTATCCACAATGAATATCATTTGAGTCTCATTTGCATATCATTAAAATATGGCACAATTTCTCTGGTCAGGAAGCCCACTGAAAAAGGAAATGGGAGGCTGTGTGTGGTGGCTCATGCCTATAATTTCAGCACTTTGGGAGGCCGAGGCGAGAGGGTTACCTGAGCCCATGGGTTTGAGACCAGCCTGGGCAACTTGGTGAGGCCTTAGCTCTACAATAAGTCAAGGGAAATCAGCTGGCCATGATGGGTGCATGCCTGTAGTTCCAACTACTTGGAAGGCTGAGGTGGAAGGATCGCCTGAGACCAGCAGGTCGAGGCTGTGGTGGCCATGAGCATGCCACTGCATTCTAGCCTGGGTGACAGAAAAAAAAAAAGGAAATGGGGTAGAGCCTGGCTCTGATGATCACCCCTATACTCCTCCTCACCATCCTTCCCACCTTCTCCTGACCGAGATCTGTCCAGCCTTCCACACCCTGCTCAGGCAGCATTTTCTCCAGATCCTCCCTGACCAGTATCTCGTATACCCAGCCTGGCTTGGGTGTTCTGTCCTTGTTTTTTAAAAATGATCTTTTAGAGACAGGCTCTTTTTCTGTCATCCAGGCTGAAGCACAGTAGTGCAATTCTAGCTCACTTCAACCTTGAAATCCTGAGCTCAGCTCAAGCAGTCCTCCTGCCTCAGCCTCCTGAATAGCTGATGCAGGCCACCACAGCAGGCAAATAAAAAAAAAAATTATAGGGACAGAGTCTCACTCTGTTGCCCAAGCTGATCTCGAACTCCTGGACTCAAGTTATCCTCTTACCTCGGCCTCTCAAAGTGCTGGGATCACATGTGTAAGCCACTGTACATGCCTGTGTCCTGGCCTTGCATGCACATTGCACCCTGAGCTCCTTTCAGCCATGATCTCTGCTGTGCTGCGTGTTGTCTACCCTTCCTTCAGTCCTGGAGTGCCCCGAGGCTGGCCTCAGCCTTATTCTTCTTGGCAACCCTGATGCCCTACAAAGAATGCTCAGCAGACAACGGCCAAGGTACCCTAGGCACATGTCAAGTGCATGGGGCTTGTCCATCTATGGAGCACAGCCAGGAGGGTGAGCTTGGAGAAGTGTGCTGTGACCCTGGGTGGGGTGTAACTTCAGCATGAGCTTGTGGGACCGGAGAGGAACTGAGGCCAAGCGAGTGACACTGGGGGACAGGGCCCTGACTAAGGAACCCAGACTCTGGAGAAAGCTGGGGACAGGGTTTAGAAAGGTAGTAGAGGCACCTGGGGAAAGCATCAGGAAGGAAGGGACGCAGTCCGGTTGGGGAGTTGCAGCCTGGGAGCCCAGGGACCAGCCCAGGCCTGTGAGAGAAAAGTCACGTGGGGGACACGCTGGCTGGAAGCAGGACCAGGGGTTGTTTTTAGACAAGGCAAGCTCACTGGCCTCACGTTGGTGGACGTGGCCTTACGTTTATGGAGGCTTTGGGGTTGGTAGGTGGCACTTAGTAGGTGCTCTTGCTGCTTCCTCCTCACACAGTGTTTCCTTCTCATTGACCAGAGGACATCAGCCCATGCCCTGCCGAGGGGAATGAATCGTCCCTCTTGAGAAGACCTCACTAGAGCCAAGTTCCCCATGAGTGGACTCCGCCTTCCCCTCCAGACCTCTCCCTTCCGTAACCTTCTCCTTGACATGCCCCCTCGTCCCCACACGTGAGCTCTTCTTTAGCCTTGAAGACGCAAGTCAAAGTCAGGATCTGAGTAATGCTCCCCAGCGGTACCCGCCCTGCACGAGGAGCAGTTTTCCAAAGAGTCTGAAACCCTGTGTTAATCTCCTGTCGAAGCACTGCCCGTAACATAGGCGGTGACCATGGCCTCACCGGCACATAGTAGGTACTCAGAAATGTTTGCGGAATGGAGGGCATCGTGGTCCCAGCCAAACAGGCTGTTTTAGAAGCAGGTGTTTACAGGCGCCTCAGGCAGTGACAGGAATTCCAGGCCCCACCGAATAGCATGGTGGAGGCTTCCAGTGAGCATTCGGGGATGAAGGTTGTAGGTGGCAGGTTTCAGCAGTGAGGCAGGGGTGGTGGATCGTGTGTGTGTGTGTGTGTGTGTGTGTGTGTGTGTGTGTGTGTGTGTGTGTGTGTGGTGGAGGAAGACTCCAGGGAGCAGGGGCTCTATCAGCGATGGGGACTGCAGTGGTGTGTACCTGCAATCCCAGCACTTTGGTAGGCTGCGATGGGAGGATTGCTTGGGTTCAGGGTTTTGAAGCTATGTGGAGCTATGATCAAACCACCGCACTCCAACCTGGGTGACAAAGCCAGACCCTGTCTCAAAAAAAAAGGGGACGTTTTCCCTGAACCGCTACCACGGACCCTTCCCTGCTTTTTCTTGCCAGTGAGAAGCAGGGAGATGCTGACAGCTCCTCTCCAACACATCCTCCCCCTCCGTGCTCCCACCCCCACCCCCTGCACTTACCATCAGAGACCCAGGCCCTGGGGCCCTACTCTGACTCTTGGCTTCCCTGGCCTAGACATCCAAATAGCTCCCAGCTTCCTGCAGGAATTGAAAGACCTGGGAGTCAGGAGACCCTGACTCGAGTACTGGTTGCTGCAAACAGCTGGTCATGTGACTGCAGACCAGCGTTTCCCTCTTTGGGCTTCAGTTTCCTCACCTGTAGGAATTGAGGGAACGAGTTGGCTGGTCTCTCAGGGAGGTCCTGTCCAGCACACGTGTTCTGAGGACCCTGTAGTTCTTGGATCCACACCCACCCTGGCTGTCGGCTCCTCAAGTCAAAATCTCAGTGTTGACAGGGAATTTGAATTTACCCAGTAAAATCCTTCTTTTCATAGATGAGGAGTCTGAGGCCCAGAGAGGAGAGGGGCGTGACCAGGAAGACACACCAGGGGCAGGTGCAGGGTGATGCACCAGCCCTTGGCTCCAAACTGCCCAAGCACCCAGCATAGGTTGCCACAGGGCGTGCTGGGGGCTCTTCAGCCTTCTTCAGGCCTCAGTTCAGGGCCACAGGCCTTTTGAGCCTGTAACAGGGCCCCTGCAACCTAGACTAAGCCCAGGCCCAGCCTTTTCTGTTTGACTGACCACCTGTGTGACCCGGGCGAGTCATTCCAACTTTCTGGTATTACTGCTGCATAGCTTTAGGACCCCATTGGACTAGGGCTCCGGGGAACAGAAAGCGTTCTGTGTTAATCCCAAGGCTTGGCTTTCCAAGTCAAGCTTCTCAGTGCAATCTTCAGAAAGAATCTGATTTGTCCAGCTACCAGTGAAGTCCACATGGAAGCCAGACCACAGAAGACTTAGGCCACTGACAGCCTTGGCTGGGGTCAGGTGCTCAGCCCTGGGTCAGTCCACTGTGGCCTGAAGTGCTGTGCCTGTGGTGAGTACGGCTGCTTTCTCTAGGTGTTGTATGCAGAAAGGTCTCTATTGGGTCTCTATTTTAAGGTGAGGAAACTGACTCAGAGTCACTTGACCCGGGCCACCCAGTTGGGGAGTGACAGTGCTGTGATTAGAAGTGCAGAGCCCCACGTTTTTCCCACTCCTCCAGGACCAGCAGCTGTTCCAGTGTGAAACACTCAGAGCTACAGGGACTCAGGGGAGGCATTGAGCTTTCCAGATGGAGGGAGTGCCCAGGAAGTCTTCATGGAAGAGGTGGCCTTTGAGATAGGAGTTAAAACACAGGCGTGGGTGGTGAAGAACATTCCAGGTCAAGGATATGGTATGAGCCAAGGTATCTGGGGGAGAGGAAACTGTGGGGAATTCTGAGTGAGACTGTTCTAGGTATCTGCACACATGGTAAGGAGGGCTGAGACAGGTTTGTGTGTTAAGCTCAGTAAGAAGTTTGGCCTTGGTGTGTAAAGTAGTGGGGAGCCATTAAAGGTTGTTGAGCAGGTGAGTGACCTGCTCAGGACTGAGCAGGAACTATGTGGTTGTTTGATTGCAAGTCTGCCCTCCTGAAAGGCACAGGCTATCTCACCTTCCCTGTTTGTCTTTGGGCAGAGATGGGGAGTAATGGGGTGGCGCTGAGGAGATGCTGGTGGCACCATCATTAGGCGGAGGACCAGAGGGGGAGTGGGAGGGCACTGGGCAGTGGCCAGGGCTTCCCAGCTGGGGGTGGGGGTGAGGAGGAGGCAGAGCTGGAGGCGCCTCTCCTTCCTCCCTTGGCCAGCAGCCTCCTCTGGCCCGAGTCTGTCTGGAGAGGCAGAGCGGAGCTTGCCCCGCTGTCTGTGTGAGTTCCTGAGGAGTGAGATCTTTAATTTTTGTCTGCTGAGCCCCGACGGGCGAGGGGCCAGCCTGTGTTACAACCTCCTGGGGGCCCCTGGGCCAAGGCGCTCAGACCACAGTGGACGGAAACGAGGAATGTGTCATGCAGACGGCGGAGGCCCCCTGGGATCCGGCGGCACCCCACCCCCAGCCTGGTGTCTGTGCCCTTTCCTGGGGACTCCGGGGTCTAGGCCTGTTCCTGAGGGACTGGGGTCCTCAAGAGAGCCCTGGGGGTACCAGCGCAAACCTCAGAGTGCCCCTACTCTCAACGTGTGGTCCAGGGAGAATGGACTCAGGAGACGAGGCAGAAGCATCCTCTTCCTTTCTTTTTAAAAATTTTTTTAAATTTTTATTTGTATTTTACAGAGACGAGGTCTCGCTATGCTGCACAGGCTGGTGTAAAATTCCTGGCCTCAAGCGATCCTCCCTCCTTGGCCTCCCAAAGTGCTGGCATGAAAGGTGTGAGCCACTGAGCCCGGCCTTCCTCTTCCTTTCTCCGCACTCATGCTGAAGAGTGGGAGGCTGCCTGAGGACTCCCGGGAGAGCGTGTTCTGAAAAGACCCCCAGGAGCCCTTCCCAACTGTTGTCCCACAGGGTGTGAGAAACGGGCCTGAGTCCCACGTTGAGGCTGAGGTGGGGACAGCTGGGAGACCCCAGTGGCAACCAAGGGAAGTCGCCTCCTGTCCTTGTCCTCAGGTCCCTGTGCAGCCTTCCAGATCCTGGATAGACCTGTGTGCGATGCCTCGCTGCAGGCTTTCTCCCGGCCACCTCTGGAAGGAGAAGCCCGTATGCAATTCCTGCCCATCGGGCAACTCCCTCCACACTAGATGAGCATAGGAGTCCCTGCAGTCACCCATGGCCGAGTACTGGGGTCCCCAAGGTCACCCCAGTCGAGCACAATCCCTACGGTCACCTCTGGCAGAGCACGGGGGTCTGTATGGTCACCCCTGGCCAAGCACAGGGGTCCCTCAGGTCACCCCTGGCCGAGCACTAGAATCCCTGTGGGCATCCCCGGCTGAGCACAGGAGTTCTTGTGGTCACGCTCGACTGAGCACAGTCCCCGCAGTCATCCCTGGCCAAGCACAGGGGTCCCTGCCGTCACCCCCAGTCGAGTACTGAGGTCCCTGCAGTCACCCCTGGCGGAGCATGGGGATCCCTGCGGCCACCCTGAGTGGAGCACAGTCGCTGTGGTCCTCCCGGGAGGATCTGGGAACAGGAGACCTTCAGCCCCCAGGAGTTCTAGAAGATTCTCTTGCCCAGTTTCCTGCCAGAGAGAGAGGGAATGTATGCAGGTAAATAGGAAAGAACACCTGAGCTTGTGAAATGCACAAGGCTCGTGTCAGAGCTGGAGGTGAAGGATGGGGTGAAATGAGAATTTGAAGAGCTCGCTTCCCATCCTGCAGGTATCTGGAGTGAGAGTGGCACAGGCTATGGGGCCGTCCAGGCTCAGCTGAAGTCCAGCTCAGCACCCAACTGTGTGGCCTTGAGCAGAGACCCCCCCCCCCGCCCCAGACTTGTGAAGTGGGAGGTTCAACCCCTGCCCCACGGGGCTGATAGACCTGCTGCTCCAGTTGCTTCTCTTTTCCAAAAGAAAGTCGTGGTGTGATGAGCTCATCCAGCAGCTGCCAAGGACGTGATGTGGGGTAAGTCGAGTCCCTCCTTCTCCCTGTGGGACTCCCTGAAACTCAGCAGGGCAGACCCCACGCTGGTGACTAGGCCTGGGGAGGGGACGTGTGGCGCCACCCTCAGTCCCTGCCATGCCCGGGGCAGCACAGCCCGAGGTGGGCTCTTTTCAGAGAAGCGGGTCCTTGGTTCAGTGTCTGGGAGCAGACAAGTTGGGCGTGTATCCTTGTGCAACCATGGACTACCTCGCAATGTGGGTCGGCCATTTCCCCTTCCTCACCTTCGCTTTGCCTGTGCGTGTGGTGAAATAGCACCGCCGTCGTCAGATTATCATGAGGCTGAAATGACATGGGACTGGATAATGACTTGGCACAAGGCCTGGTACAATGTGAGCGTCCAGATGTCAGTGACCAGATACCTGGACCGGACATCAGTGACCCTCCCATGACAGGGCCAACAGGGCTGGCCATCCGACTCGCCCTGAAGGAGGAGTGGCGAGGGGAGCCTCGTTATTTCAAACTGCAGATTAGAAGACAGAAGCCATGTGACAATCTCAGAACTGAGCTCCATTCACAGAAGACAGGAACATTTACCCCAGGGGCATGAGATGGCCCTTTCCAGAACACTCTGCCACACGGGCCAGCCCGCCTGACCTCCACATGGATGTCTGCAAGCCTGTGAGCTGCTCCCACTCCCACCTGAAGTGCCGGGGCCACTCTCTCGACCTTCCCTCGGTGGCTTTGCCCTCTGATTACCCAGGAAGTGAGTTATTTGTTCTGAGCAGGGGATCCAGCTCTCACAGGGAGAGGAATTCAGAGCTGGAGGTCCAAGTCTCTTCCCAGGAAGAAAAATCCCTGGAATTCTGTCAGGAGCCTGGGTCCCAGCAAGGGGAACAGGAATGCGGGCCTTGCTCTTGGGGCTCTTTTACCAAATCACCTCAGGTTTTGGTGGTCTCTGGCTGCCAACAGGAGTCCGGCAAGAAGTGAGAAGCAGCAGGGCTGCCCTGGCAGTGCAGCCAACCACCATCCCCCTCGGGTGTGCATGTCGGACAGACCTTTCCCTTTGGCATCTCTGTCCCTCCTTTGGACTCTCCAGGGCTTTCCAGAGAGGATTTTCCTCCCCAGGCCCAAGAGATGGGTGAGTGGCATCGTAGAGTCCTCATGGGAGCGAGGCAGGGGCCTGGGCTGGCAGTGGCGGGGATTCCCTGGAAAGGCCATCCCCTTTCCTTTCCTGCGCAGGGAGGCTTGAGGGGCCAGACGATTCTGATAACTCACATCTCCAGGGAATCGAATCATGGGCTAGCAGGCAGGTAGAGGGCAGGTGGGAACACACTCTGGGGGTCGTTTGGTGACTGTGGTGGGGGTGGTCTGGAAGGTGTCCCTTCGTTGTGAGGGGCTTGCCACCTCGAGAGCCCAGGGTCGAGGCAAGACGGCACAGCCTTCGAAGCTTGGGCTTGGGTGGAAGTGACCCGGGCTGAATCCTGCATCTGCTCCTCCTCAGCTGTGTCATCCTGAGGAAGCCAGTGGCCGCTCCCAGCCTCAGTTTCCTCATTTGTACATGGAGCCACCACAGTGCCTCCCATGGCTGGTGGATCGAGTCAGTTCAGCAGCGCGTTCAGCGTGGTGCTGGGACTATCGGAGGGTCTTTGCATTTGGCAGCTATAGGCGAACACAAACCCAAGTGTTCATGGGACTGGAGATTCTGAAAGCGGCATCACCAGGTTCCACAGTCAGAGGGCAGGAGGGACAGGCCGTGAGAAGGCGGAAGGCAGGAGAGTGGTGTGGGACGGGCAGGGCATGCCAGGCTGTGGAGGAGGCCCTCCAGGCGATGGGCCCTGCGGCACCAGGGTGGGCATGTCTCGGGACCACTGCACTCCCTGAGGAGAGGGGGGACGTCCGGAGGAGGGGAACAGTCTGTGTGAGGGATTTGGCCGAGGCGAAGGGCGAGGATGAATGGGCGGCAGGCTTCCAGAAAGGCAGACGGAGCAGACGGGGCGGTAATAATGACTTGGACACACAGGAGGAAAAAATAGCTCAGGGACGAAGACGCCGCCAAGGTTTCTGGCCCTGGGAGGCCCACGGGGCTCCGAGGTGAGGCGAGGGAGGCAGAGAAGGCTCCTGAAGGGACGGGCGGGCTTCAGGGAGAGGAACGGAGCCCAGAACTGGGCTGGGCAGACGTTGGGTGAGGAGAGGCTGGCGTGAGCTGTGGCCTCCATGGCTGTGCAGGGCAGTGTCCCGGGGGAGACCGAGCACTCTGGGGACTGAGGGGTGCCGTCCCCAAAGGCAAGGGATAGGAGTCAAGGGGACCTTGAGGGCCAGCCCCAGACACAGCTAGCACGTGACTTGGCCCAGGAGCTCCACCCAGAACTCGGATTTCCTCTCTTAAAATGGGTCTCATGATCCCAGTCCTCCCACTTGATGGGATTGACAGAGGTGTCATCTCAGCTGGCCGTCCCTCCTCACAGGTTTCTCTGCTGCTCGGGCTCTGGGACAGCGGTGAGCAGTGCAGGCAGGCTGTCTGCTGCAGTGCCGTCGGTGTGGAGGTGCAGGCCCAGTAGGGGAGCCCTGAAATCCAGTCATCCGCAAGGAGAGGGCTGGATCCCCACACTGCCCTCCACAGATGCTGGCACAGCCACAGCAAGACATGTCTTGGGGTCTTGAGGAGTTGAGGATTTGCATCTGTGAAGAGACTGTGTGTGCACTTCCTGTCTGGAGAATTCTGACCCTGGAGCCCGCCTGGAGTGGCCTTGCTGGCAAGGCAGGGAGGGGCGGCATGGGAGGAGCAGGGCGGGGTGAGGAGGGGCAGGGAGGGGAGGGACAGAGGGAAAAGCGGCCCATTCTCCACTGCTGTGCCTGCCTGGACAGGACAGTCCCCCGGGACAGGGCCTGTGGGTCTGCAGGAGGTGGGCCAAGGAGTGCTTTGCAGTGGTCATGCATGGTGTTGGTCCTGTGGGGGGAGAGAGCCCCCACACACATGCCCATGAAAGAACCAGCATGCGGTGCCTGCCGACCCAGGGCACCTGTCACATCGGACCTGGTTTCTTTTTCTCTGACACCTCTCCCAGCCTTGACACAGGGGAGCCACCACAGAGAAGGAAGGCCAGAAAAACAGGCCTCACTCCCACCACGGCAGGGTCTCCAGCTGAGGGACAGGCCTGGGTGGGGGAGTGTGACATTGGATGGGATAGAATTAGATCGGGTGAGGTTTTGACGTGAAGGAGAGCAGCCTTTTCAGTGTCTGGTCATGTTTCTTGGTTATAGAAATAAACCGTCTGGCAGGACTGGGCGAGCTGAGGACTCTGCCTGAATGTCACTGAGGGTGGGGAGGCCGTGTGGGGCAGTCTCCTGACTGTCCCTCTTCCGGTCTAGCCCATTGAAGACACCAGCCACACAAGGAAGCCGACCAACAACAGGGTGTTTTCAGCTGGTTGTTAGAGCAGTCAGGGTGAAGCAGGGAGAGACCTAGGGGTGGCGGCGCTGTGGAGGCAGCTCTAGCTGTGGAGACTGCTCCAGGGTGATGCTCAAGCAGAGAAGGGGTGAGGGTGTGTGCTCTCAACATCTGGGAGATGTTCCAGGTGGAGGAATGTGGGCACTGACTCGGCTTGCTGAAGGGACAGAGAGAGGCTGAGACAGCTGCAGTGGCAGCCCAGGAACAGGAGGGACATGAGGTCAGAGGGCCAGTCATGTGGGCTTTGTGCAGAGGTCTGGAGCTGCAGCTTTGTTCCAGTGCCAGGTGTGACCCGCGCCCGACTTGTTCCATGTGGGGACTTTGAATGGTGCCCCCCCCCCCCCCCCGCTCCTTCTCGCTGCCTCTCCAGGACACAGGAGGTTGAAGAAGGTGCCAGGGTACCCGCATGCCTGGGCTTTAGGCTCCAGGGCGGGATGAGGGGAAATCTGAGCTGGTTGTTGGGGTACCCAGGTGGGTGAGGGTGGCATTCTCGCACCCTAGCCCCCTCGCCACCAACACAGGATATGAGTACATGGGTCTCTCTAGGCTTCTTGGGTCCCCTGGGGCCACTCCTGAGAGAGAGTCCAGGGGAGCGACCCTGAGCCAGAGGCAGGTGGCCTGGGCCTCACTCCCTTCTCCACACCTGCTGCTTCCTCCAGTGACCTTAATCCAGAGGCTCCTGTCGATGCCTCTATGAAAAGAGGATCCCCTTCCAGCGGCACCACCACTGCCGCCCGGCCAGATTCTGTAACAGAAAAGGGGTTAGGATCCGGAAGTAGCCCGGCCTGTGGCTCGTGCTCCCAATCCCAGCACTTTGGGAGTCTGAGGCTGGAGCATCCTTGAGGCTAGGAGTTCGAGACCAGCCTGGGCAACACAGGCAGCCCCCATCTCTAAACAAGCATCCCAAAGGACCCAGACACGAAGGCACGGGACGATGGCCGCGCGCAGCCTCCTCGAGGGGCGCCCATGACCCTTCCCGCCCCACCCGCCGGGGCTTCTT